TGAGTTGGAGGCCTACGGCCATTTTGTTGGCCTAGGCACAGGTACACATTCTGTTCCACACGTTTTTCATTTTCAGCTTTCTTTCTTTATTTATTTATTTTACGGAGCCTTTTTCTGGTCCACTTTTGTCTGATCCCAGATGTGTTGTTTCGGATTTTCTGTTGTCGGAACAGACCAGTGTCTGTTCGGACCAGTGGACCATGTTGTAGACCATATTGAGGACTGGACCAGGTGGTCGTCCTATAGGGCCTGGCCCAGTCCACATGTTCCTGCAGTAGCTGCAGATGGCCTCGGCGTCCGATAGGTACCCAGGCAGGTCGTCCTATAGGCCCTGGCCCACTCCACAGGTTCCTGCAGTAGCTGCAGATCGCCTGGATGTCCGATAGGGACCCAAGCAGGCCATTCTTTTGTCGTGATCTCAGGACCAGCACTTGGGCCGGTGATTAGGGCCACCAATTGAATTCTAGATCGAACGGCCTGGTCACAGTCCTCAGGCCATCCAGCCAGCCCCAGCGGTGTATAGCTGGTCCAGTCCTCCACTTTCAGGACATTGGGCTGGACTTCTTCTGGGCATCACGCTCGAGCTGTGCTCTTGTCTTTACTCCCCTCTCCTTCTTCGTCTCTCCTCCCTCTCCATCATCCGTGGTCTTCTTCCCCATATGTGTGTGCAAGGAGGGACCTTTCTTGCGTGGATGTTTTTCACGCCTCGCTGTGTGATATGTGTAATGATGTGAATGTGAGTCTAGTCTCTGTCCTATGTGCCATGAATTTGAGTCTTCCAATGTGCTACGTTGCATCTTTCTTGTGATCTGTATGGACATACATTGTTTCTTTGATGCTTCATTGTCTGTCTGAGTCCTTGTCATCACCGTGCTGTTCCTTCGGCTCTTCCTGCACCACTTGCCTTCAAGCGAGTATGCATCAGTAATGATCAGAATGAAATTGGGAAGGGGGGGGAAGAAGAACACAGACAAAGCACATCACACACACACACACACACACACACACACACAATCAGTTTTATGTCTGTCAGTCTTTCGTGTGTTGTCTGTCCTCCCCCTGATTTTTTCTAAGTATTTTTTTGTGTGTGCC